CAAAAAAAAAAAAAGACTAACATGTGGTGTCACATTCTGTTTTTATGAACATAGATAGACACATGCAATGGGTTTTATTGTGATGGGTACACTCCAAATTCTAAAAATAAACCCACAATGTGGACCGAAAATTGGACCGGATGGTTTCTTTCGTTTGGTGGGGCCGTGCCTTATAGACCCGTGGAAGATATTGCTTTTTCGGTTGCACGTTTTTACCAAAGAGGTGGAACCTTTCAGAATTATTATATGGTTAGTTTTATAAGTTTTTATACATAAGTTTTCACTTTTAGATTTTTTTTTAACAAATGTGTAGTTATTTTTATATATATGTCTATGTGTAGTACCATGGTGGGACGAATTTTGGGCGTTCTACTGGCGGACCGTTTATCGCAACAAGTTATGATTATGATGCTCCACTTGATGAATATGGTATGATGGTTATTTCTTGATTTGTTAAAGGTTGTTTAGTTGATTATAAGTTGTTTTTTGATTTTTGTATTATGGTGTAGGAGCACCTAGACAACCTAAGTGGGGTCATTTAAAAGAGTTACATAAGGCGATTAAGCTTTGTGAAGACGCGATGGTGGCAATCGATCCAACAAGTACTTCTCTTGGTAACAATCTAGAGGTAAGTCCACTTTTGTTAGACCTCATTTGTTACACATGACAAGACAGAACAGAACATTACAGTTTTATACAGCTTTTGGCATGTATTAGACTGGAACTGGTACGACTCACTTTTGATGTTTTGTCTGTGCAAAGACGTAAATGTTATCTCACCGTATACTTAGAAAGTATATCTAGTGTAAGAAATGCAACTTTATTGAACTAATGATGTGGACCATGTGGTGGGACCCGTTGTACCTTTACTAACATAATTTTTTTTGAGCTTTAGGCTAGTGTGTATAAAACATCATCAACATGTGCTGCTTTTTTGGCAAATGTTGACACGAAAAATGATGCAACGGTGACCTTCAATGGCAATTCTTATCGCTTACCCGCTTGGTCTGTCAGCATCTTGCCCGATTGCAAGAATGTAGCGTTCAATACTGCAAAGGTTCGTATTCGTTTGACTTTTATAGTCAACCCTATCGTATATATATCAAATATCAAATTCATTTTTCATATGGGTTTTTTAATAAATTACAAAACTAATACGATACAAATTTGTAGCATTTGTAACAATCTTTTATATAACTTACCAAATTCCCACAAAAATTCTAGAATTCATTAGAGTTTTGAAATTGAAATTGAAGTTGGTCTATTTTGGCAGATAAACACCATGGCTACAATTCGAAGATTTGTAGCTAAAAATATTGGAAACGAATTAATTGCTTCAGAAGAAATTTCGTCTGATTGGAGTTATGTTAGTGAACCTATTGGGATTTCGAGTAATAATGCATTTAAAAAACCGGGATTAGTAGAGCACATCAACACAACAGCCGATCAAAGTGATTATTTGTGGTATTCAATAAGGTATAACAATTTTTAATTTTTAAAAAGTTAAATAGTATTTGAATTATTCGAATCTAAATCTTTTTCTATGGATATCTTGTAGTGCTGAAAGTAATGGCGACGAGTCTCAAACAGTTCTACATGTGAAATCACTCGGCCATGTTCTTCATTTGTTCGTTAACGGTCAACTCGCAGGTTTGACCAAGTAACAAAAAAAAAAAAAAAAAAAAATTTCGGTTATTTTTCTTGATGAATTTTTTTATATTGTAGGTAGTGCGATTGGTAATGCTAATAACCCTACTGTTTCCAAGGATATTCCTATTACACTCAAACCAGGAATAAACAAACTCGATCTGCTAAGTTTGACCGTGGGACTCAAGGTTTGACTTTTGTAAAATTTAATGATTTTCATTAGTAAGAATGAAATCTGAGAAGGGTATTTATGTAATTTCCTTGTACAGAACTACGGTGCATTTTTTGATACAACAGGTGCCGGTATAACCGGTCCGGTTGAGCTTGAAGGGTTAAAGAACGGTTCAACTATTGACCTTTCATCTATGCAGTGGACATATCAGGTAGACATAAAATGACGATTTTACCCTTTGACTATAGTTTCTAACATATTAACATTTAGGTTGGACTTAAAGGAGAAGGACTAGGGCTACACACGGGTGGTTCCACACTTTGGGTGTCCGGGGTGCCTAAAAGTCAACCTTTGACTTGGTACAAGGTAATATCATAATTTTTATAGAACCATTTAATTTAATCTTCATACTCAATAGTCAATAGTTAATATCATATATGTATAGAACTTTTCACTTTATGTTTTACTCATAAACTATGTGAAAACAGACAAGCTTTGATGCTCCTTCGGGTGATGATCCAATTGCAATAGATTTAAGTGGAATGGGAAAAGGTGAGTTATGGGTGAATGGACAAAGTATCGGGCGTTATTGGCCATCTTATATTGCTCCAAATAGTGGTTGTTCGGATTGTAGTTATAAAGGGTCGTATAATTCAAATAAATGCCTCAAAGGTTGTGGGAAACCCTCGCAAAAGCTGTAAGTGAAGTTTCTTTTTAGGTTAATTACAAAAATGACCAAAATCGTACTTTGTATTTTAACAAAAAAAACCTTAACAGTAGATTAAAAATGATTTTTTTATCTCATTGGTATAAAATCTTGTAGGTATCATGTCCCTCGATCATGGTTAAAATCAAGTGGGAATGTTATGGTGTTATTTGAAGAAATCGGTGGTGATCCTACAAAAATATCTTTCACAACACAAGTGTTACAAAGTTTATGTTCCCATGTGTCCGAATCACACCCATCTTCTATCGAATCATGGAGTCGAGAAAAGTCAAGGAGAAAACGGAAACCAGAACCAAAAGTTTCCCTAGAATGCCCTCACCCTAATCAAGTTATCTCCTCGATAAAGTTTGCTAGCTTTGGAACACCGCAAGGGCAATGTGGTAATTTTAGACATGGCGAATGCAAGAGTGATAATGCACTTTCGATCCTACAAAATGCTTGCCTTGGGTTCAAGACTTGTAGTGTTGGAGTTTCGACTGTTACTTTTGGTGATCCTTGTGTAAATGTAGTTAAAAGTTTAGCGGTAGAAGCATCGTGTGAATGAAAAACACGAATATAATTATAAGTATAAAATTATAAATCATAGAATAAAACCGTTTTTATTTGCATTATAATAAAATTCAAGGAATCAAGAGCCTTAATTTATGACCTTTATTGACATATTACAAGAAATTACGATAATTGATTAGTATTGAGATATACCAGTGGCGGGAGGGGCAGATTCGTAATTTGACTGAAATATGCAGAGTTTGCAACGAGGTGAAGTTAACGATGGAGTTTCGTATTTGTCTTCTCCACCCATTAATGGCATCGCGATCCCTCTCTTCACTGGGCTAACATACCCTGGTCTGTAGGTTTTTCCCAAAATGCCCTCGACGTTGTCTGAGAGATTTGAGAATCTGAATTGTGTCTCGAAATGGGCAAAAGCGTCATTTGATGGTAACTGGTAGTTGTGAGCTTTTTCGTCTTCTTTAGTCACAGGAACAGCTTTCATGTCGATTTCAACCAGTCCGCCGACTGTAACTCTAACAGTGTTGGTGTCGTCGGTTCTTTCCACCGCCACTTGTCTTACTCCGGTGTTGATTTTCCATTCTGCGTCTCCGGTGAAGGGGATGTTGACTTGTTGACCGTTGAATTTTACGAGAAGTACGTCGACGGAGTCGTCCCATTGTTGTACTTTCTTGGCTGAGAGGACGAGGGTGTCGGAATCGAACATGATGGAGATCGATTGGACCCATGTGTAGTCACGTTTCCGGCCGTTCGGGCGGTTTCCGATGAAATGGGCGTTAATTTGGAGGTTGCTGTCGGAGACGAGAGCGAAATCACGTCCTTTGGCGCCATGGAAGTAGAACATGACTCCATCGCCACCGACGAACCTTGGATCGTAACATAGTGAGCCATACCCGTTACATTGTGGCCTCCTCCCTGTCATTCAATTGCGAATTAGTTAAAAAGAAAGAGTGTAGATGATTAGGAATTCAAAGAAGCATTTTGTCGAACAGGTGGAGTACATACATTTGCAAGTAGCTTCACACTTGCTACCACAATTGATGAAGCACCCTTTGTTCTTCTTGTTCTTTTTGGGCTTCCTCTCCGGGCACTCGGCCGGACAAGTTAGTGTCTTCTTATTACAAGCCCCGTTCGATTTACACTTAGCCCGTTCGCATCCTGTTTTTGGGTCTGGTGTCTCGTCGTCGTAGTTCGTGGTATCGTCGTCGACAGGAGAAGGCTTTGGTTTCTCCTCCTTGGGAGCCGGTGCTGGTTTTGGTTTCTCCTCTTCCTTCGGCGGTTCCGGCTTTGATTTCTCCTCCGTAGGGACCGGGGCTGCCGCTGGTTTCTGGTCTTTAGGGGCGGGTACCGGTGCCGGAGTCTTCTTATTGTCTTCAGGCTTGTTGTGATCATCAGCTCGGACCGAGGTAGCTCCGATGGAGACGAGTACGAGTAGGAAAGCCACCAGAATTAGCGCCTTCCCCATATTCAAACCTCTGTGTGTTTTTCCTTTCTAGTTTTTGTGGTGTTATCTTTCTTCGAAGACTGAAAGGATGGTGATTGAGATGGTTTGGGGAAGAGGAAGGGAAGCCATTTTTATAGGCAGATAAAGCAGTCGTGAAGCCATAGCCATGGAGTTCGCACCACTTCATGTCAACTGGATTTCCTTCGCTCCGAAAAAACACTTACAGCCATGAGGACGACGAGATGCTTCCATTGTCGAAGAAACCTTTTGACTTTTTGATTACTTTTTGATATATACACAAAAGAATCATTTTTATTTCGGATAAAAAAAATCCAACAAGTTTCTTAATTTAGGGTTAATTGAATAAATACTAGATACTTCCATTTTTCTTCATCAATTCATTAAGTGATTACAAAATTGTTGCATAAACTGATAAAGTCTATGTTTGTTTGTACATTGTTAGCTGAAATTGATGTTATATGAAAAACTTATGGGAAAATACCACAAATAGACAAAAAAAATGGGGGTGAATTTTTAAATTTAGTCATAAAACAAGATTTTTCCAGCTATAGACATACATTCCGCGGATGACCCTCCGCGGACCTCTGCGGAATGACGTCATCTCCGCGGACCACTCGAAAGTCTGATTTTTTAATGTGTAAAAGAGTGATCCGCGTAGGCCCTCTGCGGATACAATAACACCTCCGCGGAGTGAGTTGTTTGGAGGTCATAAGTACCTCCGCGGAGACGGTGACGAGGAGCTCCGCGGAGAGAGTAATGTCTCCGCGGAATGAGTGGTTGGAACGGATTTTAGAGAGTTTTTTGATACAAAGTGTTCTTTTTCATATTTTTCGCTCCATTTGGTCGATAGATCAGTTCTTTTCATTTGATTTTAAAAAAAAATGAGTTTTGTTATTTTATGTACTGGGGGTTTTTGGCAGATAAGTAATGGGATTAACATCTACGTTAGACCAAAGTTTAACAACTTAGGTTTACTGCTTCCGCCAAATTTTGATCGTCGAATATTGTTTGATTTTGTCAAAAGTAAGGCTAATGTGTTCAATAGTAATATATCATTGTCATTTCAACACCCGGTTCATGGGTATGTTATGAATATTTTAGACGAAGCAGATGTTCATCAACTCAGAAATGTAATTTCTGAAACGAAGGAGATTGTGCATTTGTATTTAGAGGTGTTTCAGGGATTGGTCGAACAGACAGAAGCGGTTCAGAAAGTTGTACCATACAATGTTGAAAACGTTGTATCTGATAATGTTGAAGAGTGTCCAGAAGAAGAAACTGTGGCAGTGAATACGGTTGAAGAAAAAAATTTATATGAGTTTGGAAGACTGACTGACAAAACTTTGTCAGACGGTGAAGAGTCAAATGAATGATGGTCAGAAGATGAGTTCACACACAGGAAAAAAGCTTCAGACATATTTTACGGTATGTCTTCCATACCTGATTGTCCTGATCCTATTGTTGAACCCGGACCATTTCACAGTTTAGGTCCAAATGATGATATGTTTGTTCGTCAAACATATGATAACAAACAACAACTAATATTTGTTTTGAGTCTTAAAGCAACCAGAGAAAAGTTTCAGTTTAAGACCAAACATTCTAACAAAAATCGTTATGAGGTATATTGTGAAATTGAGAATTGTTGTTGGCGTTTATATGCAAAACGCCTTGATCCCACAGATGAATTTGAAATCAGGACTTTCAACAACGTGCACACATGTTCGTCATTACAGATACACCTTAATCATAAGCATGCTAATAAAAAAGTGATGGGTACTATATTGCATGAGATTATGGGAAAAACTCGTTCCAAGGTTTGGAGGCCTAATGAAATATCAAGGGATTTGAATGCTTTGCTGGAATCAATGTAGATTACAAACAAGCTTGACGTGCAAAACAATATGCTATGGAACTGTTGTTGGGATCCTCTGAAGAATGTTTTTCCAAACTTCCTATTTATTTTCACAATTTGAAGAGGCATAATCCCGGTACAGTGGCCTATATTCAAACAGATTCTGAAGATTGTTTCGAGTGTTGTTTTTATGCCATTGGGAGCACGGTAAATACAAAAACTTGTTGTTATTTAATATATAATTTTTTTTAAACAAACTATAAAGTGTTTATGTGTTCCATTTTAATATATCGCAGATACGAGCGTTCAAACGTTTTTGTCGTAAAGTTATAATTATGGATGGTGCCCATTTGAAGGGTGATTTTAAGGGAACCATATTGCATGCAGTAGCTATGGATGGGAACAACCAGATACTGCCCCTTGCGCACGGAATATGCAAAAAAAAGAGTGGTCTTACTTGGACATGGTTTCTTGAAAAGTTGTATGAATGTGTTGGTGATTGTCAAGAATTGACTTTTGTCACTGATAGGGCCGATGCAATTCAGGTTAGTATTGAAAATGTTTTCCCACATGCTCATCATGGCTTGTGTGCTTTTCATCTACTAGGAAACATAGTACACAGGTTTGGGAAACATGATAAAACAAAAGTGTTGTTTTGGAGGCTTGTGAAAGCTTACAAAAGAAATGTTTTTGAAGAATTGTGGTATAGATTTAGTTCTACTAGGCCGCAAGTAGCAGCGTATCTAAATGAAATTCCCCGTGCTAAGTGGACTAGAGCATATTCGCTGTCGAAACGGTACGATTACATGACCTCGAATAGTCCAGAGTCCATGAATGCTTTAGCTGTAGATGCAAGGAAGATGCCTATAATACCCCTTCTTGAGTTCTTCCGTCGTCTTTCACAGGAATGGTGTAACAAGCGTCGCATCGAAGGAGGTATGAATTTAATTTGGACTTTAATTAGGTCGAATAATAAGTTAATTATATATATCTTCTTTACAGGGAAACGTTCAACAGTGCTAACCGAGTGGGCTGAAAAAAGTAGTTAGTAAAAATGAAGAGCGTACGACAGGATGGTCCGTTTCTGGTGTTTCAGATGCAATATATCAAGTTCATGATTTCAAACATGGTGGCATAGTTGATCTGAGGCAAGAGACGTGTACATGTAAATATTGGGAAGGAACTGGGTTGCCTTGTGGTCATGTCATAATGGTCTTGAAGCACTTGAAAAAAACTAACTTCGGACATCTGGCTATAGATGCTTACAAAATGGAAACGTACCGAAGTACGTATGAGGAGCTGGTTTACCCCCTTCCAGAACCGTGTGATTGGTAGATTCCTGCTGAGATGATGGTTGTTAAACCCCCGATAATGGATACACGTCAAGCTGGTAGACCGAGAAACAGAAATCGTATCCCGTCACAAGGTGTCGCACCCCCAAACCAGAACGGCGGAAACGTTCGGGGGCGGAGGACTTTAGGTAAGTATCACAACACATGTAACATATTAATCAAAGTACAAACAACCATTGCATTAATAAGTATAAGTTTTACATAAGCATTTAAACATTACATATTCAAACACTGAAGTAGGTACAGGAGAAGACAAGAGTCGCAGTACGGTACTAGGTAGTCTTCTCAAAAGCTTCGGGAGTGTACCTGTCTACTGGAATCCTGAGAATACAAGTTATTTGGAAAGAGTAGATCAGCATTTAAGCTGGTGAGTTCATAAGTATTTTAGTTCTGTTAAGTATACCCTAAGTTCTTTGAA